TGTCCATATAAAAAGATTTTCTGCAGTCCAAGGGGAAAAAAAACCCCTGTCTTGTTTGTAAAACTAGCTCTACGCCACTTTTGCCACTCCTTCTCATAATGAGTAAAATCTTGGTCTCTGAAGAGTACCACTGAAATAAACAGTACTGCCTAAGGAGTAAGGCACTACTCAATGGGCATGTCTACACCTGCAATTAATTTGCAGCAATAATCTCCGGTGCATATTGAATACGTACCTGGGACCACAGCATGTTGAGCCATGTTGGAGCAGCCTAGGCTGGCAAGGGACCTGGTCAGCCTGCCAGCCTGTGGCTGCTCCAGCCTGGCTCAACATACTGTGGATGGGTTGGATGGGGCATGAGGGTGCTCCGGTGCAGGGCTAGCCAGCAGGCAGCCCCTGTGCTGAAACACCCTTGTCCCCCAGCCAGTGGGGGCAGTGTCTATATCTGTGTTGCTGTGCACTAAAAAACTTTGCCGTGGGATAGGACTTGTATTTACAGTACTGTTCTGTGATGGAGTTTATTAGTTTCCTGTGGCTTAATAGGGCTACATGTGTAGATGCTGAGATGTTTACTGTGGACCTAATTAGGCAGCTCTTCAGTAAACATCTTGTGTAGATGTGCCCAGTGCTACTAATGGTATCAGAATCCTGCTCTTATAAAACTATTAAACAGTGGAGCATGGAATAAAGATGATGTCTGGCTTACTTAATTAATAAAATAATATTATGTACATATAGTTCTGTACATGTTCCAAATATTGTACAGATATTAACTACAGTAATTAATCTGTAATTAATTAGAGTAACTCCTAATTAGTGTAAATAATGATGCATCTCCCTCTGGAAGTACAAAACGGGTTCTGTGAAATGAAAGCAAATAACTACTCTCAGTAGATGGCATCTGATTTAAACTTCCACCAACATGAGCTAAGAGAGTCCTGGGCATCCAGAGGGTTCTAGACCCACAGACTTTCAGCATGACCTCGGGCATCTCTGTGCCTCAGTTTCCCAATGTGTAAAATGCACCCCTTGTTGCACTGTTGCAACGATGCTCCCTTTGTTGTAAAGATGTTGTGAGGCATTATCCATGAATGTCTGTGAAATGGCTCTGAGATGGAAGAGTGATGTATTACTAATATTTTCAGAAAAAGTAGAAGCTCCTGCTGTGCAAATCCTACAGAGCAAACTGAGTAAGAATGTCCAATAGCTATCCTATGTAATTCTCTACCTTTTTGTTTCATTATTGTTCTTTCAATTCACTGATACAGAAACTAACTGCTGGCAACTCCTTTGGTCATTGGTGCTGAAAGGCACAAAGTTTAACTGTAGTTTGGGAGACATCTCACAAGACATAAACCTATGGGGAAGAACGAACCATGGGAAAGATGCTTAGCTAGTGCAACTCAGTGCAGCTCTACTACTCTTGATGAAGCTGTGCTGATTTACATCAGCCGAGCATAAGTTTCTCTCCATGAAATCTGCCAGAGCTCAGGAAATCCCCAGGTATTTATAGACACCAAGCCACCTTCTGCAGTCTCTCATGAATATCTTTACTCAGGCAATTGGCAATCCCCAACCACATCCCAGAGAACTTATTGGTTTGTTTCATTTGTATGAGATGGAGGGATATGCTGAAGGAACAAGGACTTTGGGGGAGAGTGCAAGAGTAAAATACACCACAAGCATTTTTTTTTTTTTGCTGGTTAACACACTTTATATTTAACAAAATAATTTTTAATAATATATTCTTTTACACATCAAATATTGTTGCTAGAACCCCATTTTTTTTACAGTATAGTGTTTTTTTCACTAGTTTTCAGGCACACTATTGTTTAAAGATTTTGAAACTGGCTAGTCATTGACAGGCGTCAGCTTTCAAATAAGTATGATGATCCCTTATTTAATAGTAGCAGTTAAAGTACCTGGGCCAGATCCTTACCTGGAGTGAATCAGCTTAGGTGTTATCAAAGGAGTTCTGCTGACTGACACCAGTTGAGAATTTGGCCCTCAAAAATTAAAAAAAAATGGGGAAGAAAGAAGAACATAGAGGCAACAGTCTGGTTGTGAACAGAAGGTCTGATCCTGTTCCCACTGAAGACAAATAGACAAATAGTTGGATCTTCAACTAGGGTACACTGATTTCAATCAGACTATGCCCATTATACCAGCTTGAGGGTCCAGCCCTAAGTATTTGTCATTAATTCTAATAAGGACAATTAATGGGCTAAAAGATTTAACAAAATCATAATAACAAAAAAAGGCAAACAAATCATAAGCAATGACTTTAAAGACTCTCTCAGTAACTTGGTTGCAACAGAGCTGTAAAATGGTATCACCCCTTTGAGTAGTTCCATCACAGTTTTGGCTCATGTCTCCAGCAAGATAAAGAAACAGGTGTCAGTGCTACAAGGTCTTAAGAAGAAGTAGCTTGCAGTGAAACTCCAGGGAAAGACTCTCTCTGACTGGTAACAAAGGGCAGGGAGCATCATCCCCTCCAGCAAAGTGTCTAGATGTTTTCTGAAGACCTCCAGAACATCATACTCTACCCTAGTAAATTCTTGTTGCAGCTCTTGCTCTGCTGCTCTTTTGAGGCAGAATGATTCCATCTTGGGTTTCTCAATTGCATTTTCTTTTTCAGCTGTCCCACAAAGGACACAGTAGCTCCTCAATAATTCATAGGACACTAAGCGTCATGACTCCACTAGAGGTTTTCTTTTACGTATCAAAATCCAACCCTATCATTTATTTTTTATTCCCAGGACTGTGAATTCTGAAGGCAGTACTTGGCTACCATCAGATACCAGATAGCACATCTCTATCTTTCCATGAGTGGAAACAATGGAATGCCTCTACTTTGTGTAGCTATGAATAAATCATGCAGGGGTGCTCATGGCTGATTCACAGTTGTGCAGCATGAATTAATAGCCACAACAGCAAGCTACCAGCCTAGCTATAGGCTGATGCTCTACAGAAAGTTCTCTTCCTGTTCTGCAGGATGATGACAGTCAGGCTATTTGCACTGGAAGGTAAACATTGTACTGAAGGACCGTGAGGACAAGATTATTAATTTTAGGAATAGCTATTCTCTCTTGATAGAACTAGGTGTTCTGAAGAGGGAAGACAAATTATGTCTGTGGAACACATTCGAATCCTCTTGTTCCACAAATGATCCCACTGGCTTCAGTTGAAGCAACTGGCTTCCTAAAGGAAGTTATTACTCAAGCACAGGCATGAGGTCATAATATAACCTTGTATGAAGAGCTCCCTTATAAATCTGGGGGAAACTCTAACTGAGCCTAGTTCAGTGGTGCTACATGTTGTACACCAAACTTCTCTAAGCTCTATCCAGCTTCCAATGAAGTCAATGGAAAGGCTCCCATGATAAATTTGCATGTAGATGTCACATATTCAACATCAATCATCTACTCCTAGAATGGTATCAAGCATCATGCTCATTTCTTGGGAGTACCTGAGTTCCTTAACCAGAATGAGTTTTATGCTGCAGGGCTTGTGGGGGGGGGGGGGGGGGGGGGGGGGTGAAGAGAGGTGGGTGAAAAGTGAAGGGATCCTTCATAGGGGTTTGGGTGGCAAAATGTCTTGTCCACTGTCCATACATAGGACAGTAGAATACACTAAGCAGGAATTCATATCTTTGTGTTATTAGGGACACGGTTTTAGCTTACTCTATGATGTCACAAGTCGTCCACTGGTACTTTTTTGCCTGTCTCCCAGGGCAGTTTTACTAATTATATACTTGGATCTTAACATGTTTAACTTGCACCTTTTCCAGTGATGTAAATCATAAAGAAATGGCCAACAAACAGAGCTCTGGGAATTCCACTGGGAGCTGATTAGAGATATGTTTAATTCCATCTTTGTTGTGGAAACAGTTGGGCAAATCTTGATCTCATTGAACTCAATTGAAATGTCATTGACTTCAGTGGTATCAGTGCTTGGCACTGATACTGTATAGGATGAGGCGCTATAATGGCACAGTCACAAGGTAAACTCAGACATAATTCAGGGAAACTGCATGTTTAAGCCAACTCATCTCAGAAGCCAATGCTGATCAGACTAACTATGGATCTACTTACCTTGGCTCCAGGGTTTATGCTACCAGAACTTACAGAGGGATAAACTAATCATTGGTTTAAGTCAGTAGTTACACCAGATATAAATGTAGAAGTGTGTTATAAGCAGCCCATAATAAAGAGACTGATGAATGTTGGTTGGTAACAAATGCTGCACATGTTTTATCTTAGTATTCTGAACCTATTATGTGTTATATTTAAAATTATTTTGGTTTGTGTTTCCCATGATATTCACCCGTAGCAATGGAATCAAATCCACCCACTTAACGTTCCTAGTATCTTTTGTTGGCTTGACTGATGATTTAGTGTATCAGTTGTGAATATTGTGTTGAATCCTTCATATTGATTATCCCCACTCAGTGGAGAAAGCATAACACAGACAGATTGCTCCTAGGCTGTCCAATCACTGTGTATCTGTGCATCTAGCAAGTTGTATTACCGTTTCCTTTTTCTTTTAATTAATTCCTCCTTCCCTCCCTCCCTCAGTATCTTTTTTAGTATCATTAGTCATTAAAAATTATTTGTTCTTGTTTCTCTCCTAATCTTACTACCTGGACAATTCTGGCTGTGCAAATTTTAGGAAGATACTAAAAATCACAACAGAAAAAAATGCAATTCATGTTGTAGGAAGTGATGAAAGAGCTGTAAGTTAATTGGCAGGTTGGAGGCATCACCAGTGGAGGAACTTGTATAAGTATTTTCCTTCCAAAAAAACCCAGTTTTTGAGTCCTCATCAAGCACTGGTGCTTACAAAAGCAGAATAGTTATCTAGATACTGTATATATATTCTGTATAGCGAAAGAACGAGAAATTGAGAGAGAGAGAGAGAGAGAGAGATTGCAAGAGAGAGAGAATGAGAGACAGAACTTTCTTGTTAGTAAAATATTTACTTTTGTTAACCCTAAAAGGTTTTGCTGGTGACCCTTTTACAGCTGGCAGGAGGTTTAACATGTGCAGTGTAGAAGCCATTACATTTTTTATGGACTTGTCATTGGTTGGGATTTTGCCTCTATGCAGTCTGCTTCCCTTGGCATTCACGTTTTGAACACTGAGCAGGTTTCCACCAGTCCCCGTTGTGACAGTGACAGATGTTACACTCATCCACTTTCACTTCAATGCCAGCCGGAATTATTGTGGTTCCTGCAAAGCAGTTTGGACCTGGAAACACACACAGAGATAAATAAATACATTAAACTGGGAATAACACATGGTGGATCTGAGAGTGAGATAACTGTTTGTGAACAGGGAGTCAAATGAAGCACAGCCTCCCAAAGCGTTACCCGTTCCAACATCAGCATGGTATTAGAGCCCTGCGTATTAGAGCAAATGCAGTTACACAATGTTTTCACAGAAACCATCAAACACTGCTGAGTGCGCTTTCGCATAGAACAGATCTCAAGCAATTTGCCTCCCTTCCTCTGTAGTCACGTCTGTCACTGGATACTTTGTCCTAGCCAAAAGACTCTCCATGGTCAGCTGCCTCATAATGCAGTGCTCCTCCCCTCCCCTTCCTTGACTGTAAGACAGAACAAAAACATTGGAGACAGATCCTCTGTGGGCGTAAACTGGCAGAGCTCCACTGAAGTTAGTTATTGGAATCAGCCAGACTACACCCACAGAAACTGTGGCTGTTATAACTCCTTCCAGCTCACCAAATTCAGTGCCTAGCATCCAGAGTTGGTTACGGGCTAGCAATGAATAATTCATACAATCAAACATTTATTTATCTCCCAAAAGAGCTTTGTTATAGACTTTATTTTATGGAGGGGATTCCTTAAATCTGCTGATTATTCTTCTAAAATGCGTTATTAAAAAATATCAACCCTGAGCAGCTTCTGAAGTCAGCAGG